AAAATGTATTTAAAAAAAACGAGTAAACGGATCTGGATACAGGTATTTGGTCTGACCCATATGTAGATCCATTTTTTAATACAGGATCCATATCCGACCCGGATCCGTCGGGTCCAATTTTACAGATCCATATCTGTGGAAAAGAATATAGATCCACGAATTCGGGTCGGATACGAATTCATTGACATCCCTAGCTAGAATGTAACAGAAACTTAATTGAAAGTCTAATAATATAACTAGATAGAATAATCAAGTAAAAAAACTAAACATTGAATTGGGAAAACAAGATACATTACCAATTTCAATCTTATTCTTTAACAAACCACAAAAATTGTAAAATTAAATTGTATAATAATTTTAGATCTAAGATTGCATAAATTTTAGTTAGAAAACTAAAAATTGCTATAAAAAAACCTACATGTATGTACATTCATGTACATACTTTAAAAAATTACTTGGATGAAACCTTATAACACAAGTATACTGCGATGATACGATCGGCGATTTTGAGATGTCGTGTGCAAGGATACCGAGTCTTCATCTTCTACATAGTTGTTTGTTGGTCTATAGGTGATGACTGATAAAGCCATTGGTTGTTTCATGGAAAAGGAGGAGAGATACTAGAGATTGAGTATGAAGAATGGAAGTTGGATGAGAGATAATGGGAAATGTATGAAGAGGGATGCGGCTAGAATTGATGGTTATGTCACTTATATGTATTCCATAGTAGGGTTTTATCTTGAAATAAAAAAATTAAAATAAATTCTAAGAAACCAAATTTTTGTAATGTATAGTTACTTATTTTAACATCTAAGCAACCTGAAATATCTCGTGTGAGATTTCTTTGACTAATAAGAAACCGGATTTTAGTGATACATGATTTATTATTATTATTATTATTATTATTATTATTATTATTATTATTATTATTATTATTATTATTATTATTATTATTATTATTATTATTATTATCTAAGAAACCGGATATCTCCTATAAGATTTCTTAATCATAGAAACCAGATTAATGATTAATATAGTGCCTTAAGAGTGGTTCTGTAGGCCTTTTTTATAGTAGTGGATATACGGTCGATAAGTGACTGCAACCCAACACTCCTTAAAACCTGGATTTGCCATTGTATATATTCACTTTATGTCTTATTATTCGCTTATTATAGGAAGACTATTCAATAAATAAAAATAGTGATCTAGACCCTTCGTTTTAAAGAGAAGATCTTATCTATTCATTTATTTGACCATGACTTTTTTTTTTAACTTAATGCTAATATAAACTGCTTTTTTAGCATTAAAAAAACTACTTCTCTATAGAGATGGCCATTTTTTATATCCGATCCGATCCGAAATTTCGGATCAACAAAATGTCGATCCGAATCCGATCCGGAAAACCCGGATATCCGGTGTTTGGGATATCTAAAATTTTGGATCGGTTCACCGAATACAGATCCGAAATTTATGTTAAAGTTTTTTGTTTTAAAAATATGAATGAAATGTCTAAAGCAATTTGTTTCACTCATTTTGCTTCAATTTTTTCTACCAAAGGCCTAGCAATTGAGATACCGGGGACTTGGAGTATAATAAAGAAAAGAATTAAAAAAATTAATTTTATCCTCAATTGCTTATGAGGCAAGCCAGCTAGCAGCAATTCAGTTATTCCTTGGACCTTAGACAACCCCATCACGAGCATTTGAGCATCTCTCATTCTTCATTCATCTCTAATTCTCTCTCCTCTCTAATTGTCTAACTCCTCTTTGATTGAAAAAATGAAAGATTTAGTTTTTTTGACAAAGAAATATTAAAAAAAATAAGTTCAGATTTACATCACACGAACATATGTGAGGCTCTGAAGTGCCGATGATGAAGAATGACGCAAATAAGGCCGATAAGAGTGAGACCATTGGAGTCTCACCGTTTGGAAATCATGGATGTAGTTGACTTTGTCGGAATCTAGTAGAGTGGAAGCTGCACTAATGGGTAATTGGGGTGGGTTTTTAGGGTTTTAGACATTTTAGTTTTAACATTTCACGGTTTGAAAAAATTACTAAAACCTTTTTCTAAAAAAATTATAAAAACAGATCAAATTGGATATCCGATTTTTAAAAAATCATGATCCGAATCCGTTTCGAAAATTTTCGGATATTTGATCCGAAGTATCCGAAATTTTAAAAAATGGATTGGATATCCAATTTTGTGATCGGATCAGTCGGATCGCGGATCGGATTTTTTTTCCCACCCTTACTTCTCCATTGATAATGTACAGTATAAATGCTTTATTCTTCATTGACTTATAATAATACCAATATTTACAGCCTCATCGCTTTCACAACCTCATAGGTGTTTTGTAGGAATTTAATTTCTATACACATAATAATTTGTGTATGACGTTAGGTCATTAGGAGTTTGATTAAATCAGTTATAATGAAATAACATATGATAAGTTCATTGTAGCATTACATCACAAAAAAAAAAGAAGCAGAGGAGATGACGATTGATAGAATTTTGGCAGATAAAGGATTAATTTTGGACTACCATGAGGGTTAGAGTCTTTAGAGAGAGGAAGGGGATAATTGATGGTCAGGGCCATAACAAGGCCAAGACAGGTAGGGCGACCACTATGGGACTCGAACCAAAAGCCCAACCACGGTTTAATAAAAGGCCCCAATATAATTATTTGTAATAAAAATAACAAAAAATAAAAGAAAAAATAGTTACCTGGACTTATGAAGAGACTAAAGAAAAAATGGCTACTGAAGGGTGATTTTTAACAGACATTGGTTGCAAATACTTCATTACTCGGTTCACAAACCAAAAGGATTATAATCATGTCTTGACTCAGGGTCCATGGCTTATTGATGATGGTTTTCGAACAATTCGTATATGGTTACACCGAAAGAGGCCTCCATAAAAGTCCTTACTTCTTGGATGGGCTAGGATTCCAAATCTAGTTGTTGAATATTTTGACATAGAATAGTTGAAGAAATTTCGTACAAAAATTTAGAGACTTATTAGTGTTGAAATTGACTTATAAAAGCCATGCATTTCTATCTAAGTTCTTCCTTAAAGGGAAAATTTTGAGAATTTAATATGAAGGGATAAAGATGGTGTGATATAATTGTGGGAAATTAGGACATGTGATTACTGTGCATCTAATATTCACTCGGATGGCATGGTAGTTGATCAAGTTAACTAGCAACTTGACACGGTTAACTAAGTGTTGGCCTATGGATAAAGGACCCAAGCCAAGACTTGAAGAAGAAAATAGTTATGGTTCCTGAATGCTAGTTAAGAAACCAGTCATAAAGTGTGCTCCAAAGCTAGGGGTCCAAGCACCAACTACTGAGAAAGGAAACAATACATCAGGGGTTCAACCACCCCTGTAGCCAGTGAAAAAATAGGGAGTAAGATGTTTTGCAAAAAACATAAGTGTTAAGATATTTTTCAAAACAATGATTTAGAGAACATATCCCTGTTTTTATTGTGAGCATAAACAATGGGATTTATCTTTTTAATCTTTGATATATTTGCTAATTATCAACGTGGGAGAAAATTCACAAGATCAATACTTTTAAAGAAAAATATAATTTTATTTTCCTTTAAATAGGGTAACAAGAATGCAGAAGAAATATTCAAAATTGACGTTTATGCGGAAAATAATTGAAAAAATATCTTCCCAATAATCCATCCAACCAAATTCCCCTTCAATGCCAACTACCAATATTATTCCAGGAGTGATTGAAATTTCCTAATGGCATGTTTGGATATGGGGATTTCATTTTAAATTCTTATTTGGGCCAAAATGGCCTGTTTGGATAATACAAGCATTTGGATTTGTATTTGGGTCAAATCCATGAAAATCCAAGCCTTTACAAAATTAAGTCCAACTCAATAATTTACAAATTCCGTCTCACATATTGTCATTTCAAATTATTTACTTGCCCTAATTTTCTCTCTCCTAGTCTATTCTATTCACGATGCTGCTCCATTTTCTCCTCCTCCATTGAAGCAGCTCGATTTTCTCTCTCCTCCATTGAAGAAGCACATTTTCTCTCTCCTCCATTGAAGCGGCGCGTGTGAGCTTTCATCATTGAACCGGTTTGTGAGCTTTAATCCTCCATTGAATTAGCTTTTGAGGTAATTCTTCTTAACTAATCAAAAATCAATTTCATAATCTAGGGTTTATCGACTATACACATTTTCAATTTCAAAATTTCGGGTTTATCAATTAAAATCAATTTCATAATCTAGGGTTTATCGGCTATGTGGTACAATTTGTGTTTTTGTTTCTTTTTATTATAGAAATAGTTGATTTGTTGTTTAATTTGCAATTTGGTTGTTCAATTTCATATTTTAATGCTTTATTTGTTGTTGTATGTTGCTGCTTTCTGCTTGTAATCTACTTTAATTTATGTTTTTATTATTTAAACGACATGTATGTTGTTGCATGTTTGAATTCTGCTTGTATGTTGCTGTAATACTTTGATTATGAACTTGTATGTTGCTTCTTGTATGAACTTGAAAGAGCTTGTGCTTTATATCTATTTGATCTAAAGTATGGAGTATGCATAATGTTACTGATATGACCAAATTTTCAATGTCAACTTGTAAAAAAGCAAGCTTCATGTTGTTTTAATATGTTGAAATTGCAGCATAAGATCTGTTGGGATAAGTTTATCTAGATTATGATTGGATTTGAAAAAATCATCATTAGCTATTCTTTCTTATAGTTTTTTCTATCTAAAATTGTATCATGACATAGGATGTTTCTGCACTTAAAATGTTAGGTGTCTGAAAGGTTTGCTCTGTCAGACATAGTCAATTGCTTCAGTTTTTATCTTAATTGCTTCATGAAAGAAATTTTGTGCTACTTGCCTCTCCGTTCAAGTGTGTGCCTATTTCATTTTGTTTACTTGATTTGCTTGAGTTGTTTGAAATTTGGCTTCACTAGATAAACTCAGTTTAGTTAAATTTGGCTTGAATGTTTTAGGATGTCTGATTTGAATATACAAGAGTCACGTAAGCGCCCAAGGGATGATGGTGATGAAATGGACTTAGTTGTGATGGTTTTAGGTTTTATTATGGTAGTAGTAGGAGCATGGTATGGTAAGAAATATAGATTAAAGGAGATAACATGGAATGAATCCGAGCGTGCTAGAACAAGAGCTACATGGATGAACACTTTGAGGAATGATAGGATATGTCGAGAGCAATTACGTCTCGATATACGTTGTTTTGAGAAGCTATGTCATGTATTAAAAACTAAAGGTGGGCTAAAGACCACGAGAAATGTCACGATAAAAGAAATTGTGGCTTTATTTCTTCATACCCTTGCCCATGATTTGAAAAATAGAACAATGCAAGCCCTCTTTGCACGATCCGGAGAGACTATTAGTCGTCAATTTCATGTAGTTCTTGCATCCATGCTCAAGTTAGGGAAATATTACATCAAACAAGCCTATCACACTACTAGTCATGCTGATGATAATAAATGGAAGTGGTTCGAAGGTGTTATAGGAGCTCTTGATGGGACACATATTGATATGACTGTGCCAATTGAGGATCGACCTCGCTATCGAGATAGGAAAGGGAACCTTAGCACTAATGTACTAGCCACTTGTGATCCTAACCTTCGATTCACGTATGTGCTACCTGGTTGGGAAGGATCCGCATCGGATCCTCGTGTCCTTCGGGATGCTCTTTGTATGCCTAATGGTCTTAAAGTGCCTAAAAGTAAGAATATATATGTTTTTTTTATTATTTTGTATAAATATTGGGTTATGTGAGTTTGAATGTATAATTAAAATGTTAACATTCTCTGATTGCAGATAAGTATCTTCTTGTTGATTTAGGATATTCTAATGCTGAAGGTTTCCTAGCTCCTTACAAAGGTACTAGATACCATTTAAATTTGTGGAGAGGAAACACTCCTACAAATGAAAAGGAGCTTTTTAACTTGCGACACTCATCTGCTCGAAATACCATTGAAAGGGCATTTGGGTTGTTAAAGAAACGTTGGAGCATTTTAAGAAATTCTAGTTTTTTTCCAAAAAAAATTCAAGTAAGAATTATCAATGCTTTCTTTATCCTACATAATTTTCTAAGGGAAGAAAACATAGAGGAAACGAGTCTTATGCAAGAGGTGGACCATGACTTGATAAATATGGAAGCAATAGATGAGGAAGAGGTAGAAGAAAACTACATTTTATCCGCCCGAACAACAAATGAGTGGAACAAATTTAGAGATGACCTTGCTAAGAAGATGTTTCAAGAATATATGGAACGAAGGGGTCAAGCTACATAGGTTTCAGTTGTAATGAGACATTTGTGTATTATTTATGGTTTGTCATAAAACTATTTATTATGTACTGAGAAATTTGTGTACTATGTATGGTTTGTCTTAAAACTAGTTTGCCTTTCTTCTTGTCATAAAACGAGTTTGCCTTTCTTCTTGTCATAAAACTAGTTTGCCTTTCTTCTTGTCATAAAATTTGTTTGCCTTTCTTCTTGTCATTTTAGTTTTAGCATTAGTACAAGTGTTGATTTGATTTTTTATTTTTATTTTCTTGCCTACAAGACCTTTGAATATCATACATTATGAGGAGACCTGGGAAAGAGCCTATGGCACCTTCACAATCATAAAGAAGAAACTATACAAGTTAGAATACACAAATGGATGGTGTACTCACTAAAACATTGTTTGAGCAGATTAATGAGGGAAATAAGGGTGATGGAGAATTCAAATCACAAGCATATCAAGCTGTAGTGGATAACGTGAGGAAGCAATTGGGCATCTTAGTCACCATGGATCAAGTGAAGAATCGGATCAAGGTTTGGAAGAAACATCATTCGGTCATCAATGATATCAAAACTTATACAAAGTTTAAGTGGGATGATAAAAAGAAGATGATAGTGATCCCCGTAGAAGACCTTCAAGCATGGCATGTATATTGTACGGTATGCATTCCAAAGTCTTCTTGATTTTGTTCCCCTTTTCTAGCTACTGTCCTTGCTTTTCTAGCTATTGTCCATGTATATTCCCGACATGCATTTGTTCTGTTCTGTGTTTTTTTATTGCTTCTGTTCTGTGATTTTTAATTGTTGTATCTAGGATTGTTGTTCACTGTAGCTGTATCTAGGATTGTTGTTCTGTTAGTAACTCTGTACTCATATAAGTTTCTAATACTGTAATTAGCTAATGTTTGGGTAAAGTATATTTTTCATTGAGCTTGTGACTTTGGGACTGATTTTAGCTGATGTTTGGGTGAATTATCATTTTTTGATTGGAAAAATGGTATTATCACAATAGTTTTGTTCAAACTTAGCTGAGAGCCATGGCAGATAGTTTTAACACTTAACATGGCAGATAGTTATAGGGGGTAGCAATATTGACTTGACTTCTTTCCTTGCTAAAATATATGATTTGTCCTGAATTGGTAGTTTTATAACTTTCCTTGTCTCTATGTCCTGACCCTCCATGTAAACCTGTATGCAAAAAACCTGGTCCCATTTCCCTAGTGCCTTCAATGTGTGAGTTTGGGTTATTTCTCTCTTACATAGCAGTGGTCTGATAATCTACCAAGAGCTAGACTAATTTATGAATTTAGATATAAATGAAGTGAGGAGGAATGGTTTATGCAAGCTTATTACCTACCCATCACAATCCTACTAATTCATGAATTTAGATATAAATGAAGTGGATATAAGTTTAGAAAAGTTTTCTAGGGCTTGATTAGGAATTTTAGGATTTATGAAATTGGTATGTTAGGAATCTTTTGTATTAATTTTTGCATTTTAATCTTATCAGGATTGCTGAATGTATGCTGCATTTTGATCTTATAATATATGTTGCATTTTAATCTTATTAAGATTGCTAATGTATGATGCAACTGACTTATATTCAGTGAGGAGGAATGGTTTACAGCTTGCAATTATCGTTATTTGCTCAACAAGAACAAAAGTTCTGAGTTAAGTGGTTCAAAGTTACTACTATTCTGCAATACTGCTACATTGTTGCCCTGTTACTGCTATAATGCCCTGGTACTGCTATACTTCCCTGTTACTGCAATACTTAGAATATGGTATTTGTAATCTGAATTTGTATGATCTTCTTTTGTTAACAGGATACGCCTGCTGCATCTGCGTATCAAAAAAAATGCATCGAGAATTGGGATGAAATTTGTACCTTGTTTGCACCTGATAGAGCAATAGGAGATGGTGCTGAGCAACATGAAGAAACTGCTGCAGCAATGGAGAATGAAAATGATAATGCAAGTACATCAAAAACGGCTTCTGAAGATTCAAACAAAAGGTTAAAAAGGGATCGTCTTGCAGATGCTGTGAGTAGCTTTGCTGAATCTTTCAAGGAGTACGTGAGTAAATCAACAAGGCCAACTAGTCAAGAAATCTACAAGGAAGTGTCTAGTGTACTTGGAATATCTCGACACCAAGCTTTGAGGGCGGTTAAGATATTCTTAAATGGCACATTCGAGGAATTTGACATGCTGAAAAATTTACCCGATGATCAAAAATTAGATTGGATCATTTTGTCTATTGATGAGTAGTAGTGTTGTAAGTTAAGAGATAATTACAGTTAAGTTGGAACTTAGGTATTGAAATTTAGAATTTGGAATTCCATTGTTTCCCAAACAACAACTAGAATTTGAAATTCTAGAATTGAAATTCTCTTGTTTCCCAAACAAGTATTTGAATTTGAAATCCTAAATTTGAAATTATCATATTTCCCAAACAAATGATTTGAATTTGAAATGTAGAATTTCAATTTCGGAATTTGAATTTCATTTTTTGAAATGAAATCCGCATATCCAAACGCAACCTAAAAGCATTTTACTCAGCCTCGGAAAGAAAATAACCAAAGATATTCACAAAAAAATCCCAATGAAGCAGAAAAAGCACTTAAAGGAGATTTTGACATAGTAATTCTAGAAGTGGTAACAAATGGCTTTAACAATGACAAAACATGATCTGTACAACAATGCAATAATACTAAACCCCCAAGAAGATTATTTGCATTAGGAAGCCAATGGAGAAGCCATACATTGTCATTACAGACCTTTTGGCGCACATATTAGAAGTCTGAATGGAGACTTGATTAAGTGAAACCGATGCCAGAACCACCAGAGTTAATAGTGACAATGCTCATTCCCAATGAGATTAATTGGCTGCTTAAAATGATCTCTCAAGCTTATTTTAGTTCCCTTGAAAACATACCAATTTTAATGGAAGATTGTAATTCGAATTTGCAAGCTCCAAATTCTCTCCATATTTCATGTATGGTTTGGAAAGTACAAAGGGAAGGGAGTCATGCAGTTATGTCTACGCTTAAGGAAGTGGTATGTGTTCATAAACCATACTTTATCTCTCTTGTAGATATGCATATGTGGGGGGGGGGAGCAATCAGATAATATTGCTACATTCCTCGGATATCTGTGGCATACAAGAGTTGATGCAAATTGATTTAGTGGTGAAATATGAAGTTTTTTGGAATTCGAATTTAGTGATTTTTGAGCTAATTCGGAAGCATGAACAATGTATCACCTTGTGTATTAAAAGGGTGGGGTGTGAACCTTGGTACATTAGTATGGTGTATGCCAGTCCACACCCAACAAGAAGCCTTCAATGAAGGATTTTGATTCTCAGATCAATATAATAAACCTTGGATCTTAGCTAGAGACTTCAATGACACTCATTTTTCTTAGGAAAGAAGTTCTATATTAACTGAAAATTATAGACATACAGATAGATTTAACGAATTAGTGGAGAATATGGGACTTTTAGAGGTCGAGTTTAGCGGTGCTTTTCATATATGGTCTCGAGGAACAAATGTGAATACTTACACAAGTGCAAGGCTGGATTTTACTCTGTGTAATGGTGAATGGAGCTTACATTTCCCAAATGCCGGGTGTAAAACACCTTCTTGTATTACAATCGGACCATTGTCTGCTTTGAATTTCTCCCGAAGGGTTCACTCCAATTAAAAGCATTAATAGGCCCTTCCTTTTTCAAGGAGCCTGGATGACTCATGAGTCATTTACAAATTTTGTGAATCAAAAAGTGGGATTTGAATGCCCCTCTAATTCCTCATCTGAACAAGCTGACAACTGATTTACAGGACTGGAACATGAGCACTTTTCACAATGTTTTTTTTATTTGAAAAGGAAATTTGTTAGCTCCAATTGGTGGAATATAGCGCAACCTTGCTATCTAACAAACCAAAAATCTGATCAAACTTTAGTCAAAATTAAGAATTGAGCTAGATGATGTGTTGACTCGGGATAAATTGTTATGGTACCTAAGTGGAGTAGATAAAAGATGGGGATCAAAATACACCCTCTCTCCAGCTTAATACTACAGCTATGACATGGAGAAACAAGATTTCAACTATTCAAGTGTCACCTAATGGAGATTGGCTCGTGGAAAAAGATGATGTTTAGCGCCATAAATATTATGGAGTATTTTCAAAATCGTTCCACTAATTGTGTGGAGCATGCTGATGATGTTAGCCTTCTTAGTGATATTTAACCTAAGTTCACATCAAGAGATTGGGAAAGAATATCTAGCCCCTTTTCTAAGTGTGAGATTGATAAATATATAAATGAGATGTGCTCTAAATGCCCCGAGTCCAGATGGTTTTCAGTCACTTTTTTTCCAGAATAATGGAAATTGTGGAATGAGCATAAGGTAGTACTGGATGCACTTCTCGGAAAGGGATTGCCAACTTTATTGAATGACATGTTTATTGTAATTTTACTAAAGGTGGGTATATAATACGGAGTTAGCCTCTCAATTTTGGCCAATTAGCTTATGTAATTTGATTTACAAAACTATTACAAAAGCTATAGTAAACTGAACCAAGCCTCTTATGCCTCAACTCACCTCACCTCTTGAACCTAAACGAGCTTTGTTCCGGGAAGGAAAACTACTGATAATATTGTAATTTTACAAGAAGTTATCCACACCATGAAGACAAGGCAAGAAAAGTAAGGTTTGTAGAAGATAATAGGTACTAATTGCGGAATAAACATGAATCATATTCATACAGTACCTAATCCCAAGATCTAATAACACATAAAGAACATATATTTGTACCTTTGAAGCGTGATTCCACGTGCGATCAAGCAAGAACAATGGGAGATAAAGAACCCCAAGCGTGATTCCTCTACTTTGTCCACGAGCACAGATTAAGACCTCCACTAATGCTAGTTAGTTGCAATTTAACCCTTCAATTGACCTTCTACGGAGAAGAGCGAGCAACAAACCACCATGAACCACCACATGCGCACC